ATGCTGGGAACAGTTGGATTCATGTCTGGATGTCTACTGAGGGAAATGCAAATTACCAAAAAAGTCTGCAAACCCGCAACAGCAGAGCAAACTTTCACCGTCTCTTTAATGTGTTTATCATGCTAACAGAGAGCTAGTTTTGCTTTTATATGCTGTGATGTAACAGTTATAAAGATGAAATATTACAAAACAACAACAAATAGGTGTGGCTGATTATATCATTTAAAATGAAAGTTTTCTTTTTTTCATGGTAAGAATTTTCATTTATTGTCATGAAATTTTCACTTATTTATGACAACATATTAGAGCTATAGATAGAAAAAAAAGAGAATTTCTACAAAAAGCTCAGGCATTTTCTAAAAATTAGAGGGACGTTTCTGAGTCTAAAAAGCTAAAAAAAAATTCTAGAAAAAAAACTCAGAAATTCTGAGATAAATTGCAGAAATTTTCTAGAAAGAACAAGAAAATTTCAGAGCTACAAAAAGTCAAAACAATGCTGGAAAAAACCTAGTTCCAGAATGTTCCAGAAAAAAACATGAAAAAGGAGTACATTTATGGATAAAACCACACATTTTCTAGAAAAAAACACAAGGATATTTATGAGCTCCAAAAAATGAAAATTTGTTTAAAAAAACAACTGAAATTTTGAGATTAATCTAAAAAAATGTTCTAGAAAAACACATATAAAATAGTACATTTCAGCAAAAAAAAAAAAGATTTTTTTTTCCCTTTAAAATTACATTTCTGAGCTCCAGAAGCTGAAAAATTGCTTGGAAAACATCCAGAAATGTTTAAACTGATCTCAGAAATGTTCTAGAAAACACGAGAAAAGGAGCCATTTTTTTAAGCACAGTTTTCTAGAAAAAAAATCTGAAATTTTAAGATTAATCTCAGAGATGTTCTAGAAAAAAATTAGAATTTCAGTTTCAAAAAGTAAAAAAAATGTTTGAAACTCAAAAATCTGAGGGTTTTTCTAGAAATTTTCTGTGATTAATCTCAAAATTTCATAGCAAATTTTCACCTTCTCAAACTCAGAAATGTCAGATTTTTTTCTGAAAAATTTGTGAGATTAATCTCCTATTTTCTGAGTTTTGTCAGGCTCTTAGAATGACATTACAACCAAACAGTGTTTTGCAACTGAGATATTGCAAACAATACAACTGTGATTTGATACATTTATATATTTATATTTATATTTAGTGTTTCTATCCAGGATGCGTCTGATTAGCAATCAGGAAATAGTGTTTATGGTTGGTGATAAAATCCAGAATAAGTGTATTATATGTATAGATGCCAATGAAGCCAATAAAACTCTGCCTCTCAGACTATAAAACATTTCCTGTTGATTGCATCATTATCTTCTTATATGACATTTTGTAGTGTCTGTGTTGTGAATTTGTTATGATAACCTGTTATTGTTGGCGTTAGACGCCGCTTCATGCCTGTGAATGAAGACAGCCTTGATAATTGTTCAGACATGATCCAAATAATTGAGATTACTCGGTCATTTGTGACAGTAACGGCGTGGGAGGAGATGAAGAAGAGTCGCTGGTTGTCAGACGGCGTCAAACGAACCAGAGGATGTTTTTCTATCGCTGAAGGTTTTGATTAGTCTGAGAAAAAAATCTGTGATTTTGATTTAAATATTTTTCTGTTCTGGAGAAACTGATAAAAAATATGGGAAAATATTCAGAATTACAGCATTTAGTCCGTCCGTCTGTTTGGATCATTATCCCGTTCAATAACCAAACGATCTTTTATTTTTAAGGTTCTGTTGTTTCAAATATTAACGTGTCTGGGCATGTGGAGCTTTTTCATGTACTAATTTACTGATTTTCTCCAAACCCTCCTGCCTGTATTTGCTGTAGTAAAACTCAATTTTAACATCATCTGACTAAAACACGTGGTTCCAATTAAAGTCCCACTAAAGTTTAGCAAACTTCACATGTTTACATTTGTGATATTGGGACAGAAATAAAAACGTTTCTCTGGTATCACACTGAAACAACACAACATGTTTAAATGTTACTTTGACTGAGCCATTACCTCTACTTTAGTTTATCAACATTCTTCTTCTTCTTCTCATTTTGACAAAGACCAAAATACCAGAACAAACATGGAGGCTGCTCTAAATTGATACCTTAAGAAAGATGCTTTAAAGGACAAGATACAAACTGTAGTCAGTTAAGAACAAAATAAATATTTGAGAGAAAGACAAGATATGCAGCTTGATCTGAGGCAGTCCTTATGCAGGACGCAGCCGTCTTGGCTCTGACAGACAAGTGAGAAACACACATGAAAACACAGTGTCATGGTAGACAGATGGCGTGATTTGACAGAGATCAGACTTGTTTGCTTGGTCTTTTGGTGCAGTTCTGTATTTTTTGTTGTTTATTTATAACATATTACGCTGCCAGAAGAAATTACGTGGCAGGCGGCGAGGAGCAGAGAGTTGGGGGGAGGGAAGAAAGGCGAAATGTTTCTGTATGCTCATTCTGCTTTCACACTCGTCTCCGTCAATGTTTCAGGTTCCTCTGCCTGCTGGCATGTTCGGCTCTGACTCGCTGCAGCTCCGATGCATGTTTGTTGGTTTTACAGCGGTTCAAATGAAGAGGGAGTAATTATTTACCCATATGGATCAACAGTTGTGTGACAAACAGATCGACTCCGCGATCTTTCCCTCAGCCAGATTCAACCAAAGAGGCATCATTTTACTGTTGGTTTGCTGAAAATAAACACGTGAAAATTTGTGTTTGTGGGGAGTTGTGCTGTTGATGTCTGTAACTGTGACATAGTAATGCCTAAACATGCTAAAGCAGAAGCAGGGGCCTCAGGCTGGATGTCTATTCACTTCACTGCTCCTGTGCTGGATGGAAAATCAGACTGTCCTTCTTTTCAAACCACTGCTCTCCTTATGCCTGCAGCACAGAGAGGACATTTTTAATGCTGGTTGCTTTGGGGCTGCAAACGATTAATTTTTATTAGTTAACTAATAGGTCCGTTTAAATCTTATTTTAGTGTTGCAGTTTGGCCGCCATCCAGCAGAGGGCGCCGCTGATAATTTTAAACGGAGCCGTTGATGAAAAAACAGAGATGGCGGCGGGCCGTAGCATAACGGCAAAAGGTAAACGGTCGAAACGAAGTCCGTATGGGATGAAAATGCACTTTTTGCGGTTAAGTTTTAAAATAAACTTATTTTATCACCGTAATAGCGCTCATTTAGCCGAGCTGTAAGGCTGAGCAGTGTTAGCTTCTCATTCATACATCATTGATGTGCTAAGAGGAAGAGGAGATGACAGAAAAGCGGAGGCCATTACAGAAAAAATTAACATGACGCTGTGGTGAGTTAATGGGCTCTTTGCGCCTAAGGCGTTGACGTCACATCTCCAGGAGCTAATGCGGCTCACTTGTTTCCGCTTTGAGTTACCACGACTGGTAGAAAAGACTAAGTCGTATTTCAGATGCAAAAAAATGCAATACTATGAACATTGTTGTCTTCCTAATATAATGGGCTTTTAAGTTTTCGTTAATTTCCAAGCGATCCTGAATTAAGAAGATGGCTTGTAAATATCTGTCGATACCAGCTAACACCGCACAGCAAAGTTTGCAGCCTTCACTTCACTCCGGATCAGCCTAAAACTACCGGGGATACACATGGTAAATAAAGGAGCCTCCCTGAGTTATTTCCATGGAATCACTTCTATATTCACCCTGAAAAAGCGAGTATATGGGAACGAGACAGCAGACCAGAGCCAGACAGCCGAGCAACTGATCCGCCTGTACATACTGCTGTAAACACCGTCCTATCTGAGCTCTGAACAAGAAACACGCAAAGGTAATAAAACGAAATAACACGGAGACATGAAGCAACACGGTCATATTTTTCTAAAAGTAGCAACTTTGAAGCTGAACAGCTGAACCAGATCTCTGACACCAGAGCTGCGCTACTGTTAAGCTATGAGGCTTGTTGAGCTCCGTCAGGCTTCGGAAGCTAAAAGCCCGAACCGTAACCTCCCCGTTAGTCTGTGACACTAACGACAATAAACACACATAATATACTTGAAAATAAGATAAAAACATTGTCCGTTAGAATGTTTAGATACTTAAATAGCACATTTTACAAGAACAATGTCCGAGAATATTGCCTACTAACATAAGCTAACGTTAATGTTAGCCACAAAGTTTAAGTAAAACTCACCTTCGTGTCAGTGAATGTATAACGAGGCGAACATCTTAAAACCTTTCTCCAGCTGACTTGTTGGGGCTTCGGATCGATGTACAACCCTTGGCCAAGCTCTGCAAGCACCTAATGTAAATGATATTTGTATTGGATCGGAAACAATCGAGCCGCTTTACCCCGAACGCGGAAGCTGAGGTGCAAAGAGCCCATTCACTTCATGGAGCGAAGTTTCCTTCAAGAGCAAACACAGAAGATACTTTTGTATGAATATCTCTCTGTTCATGGGGAAATGTTTCACATATTTTACTCTTCATCTTTTTTTTGTTGTATTTTATAAATACTTCTTCAATTTAATGTGAGAAAAACAGAATTTTCTGTTTAGTCACTAAGTATTTTATACAGCTGACGATGCCAAAAGTCAATCAATAATTTTTGATTCAGCATATTATGAAACATTTTGCCCTTCATTTTCTTGATATGAGAGAAAACTCAGGTTTTTAAGACATAGACGCTTATCAATTAATTGTTGACCAATAAGATCATTAATCGATAACTTACATCCATAATATTTTATAATTGTTAGATTTTTTTAAATTCAGGATATTATGAAAAATTTAGCCCTTTATGTTATGAAAAGCCATCTTGATCAGAGAAAATTCAGGTTTTTAAGAAAATGGACGCCTATGAATGAACTGTTAGTCCATAGATAATATCAGTCAACTCTAGAGATGAACTCATCCATCGATAACTTGCATCCTTATTCGTAATGATTTAGAAAGGTCAGATAACGTTGTAATTAAGCCCTTCTCTGTGTCTGCAGATCCCAGTGAGACCGTGGCACTTCGCTGCGTGCATGAGTGTAAGGGTGTAAGTGTGTGTGTGTGTGTGTGTGAGAGCAAGTGAGCGCCAGTGCTCCCACATGGCCTCCATGCAGGACGGGCTGAACTTCACGGCTCCTCCCTACGGCAAGGTCCTGCTGCTGGGCGCTATCGCTGCTGCCTCAGCCTTTGTTGTTACCATCCTGATTGTGGTGCTCTGCGTGGGCTGCCAGAGGTGAGAGCAACACTGCATGATCCATGCATTTTAACCACTGCTTGGAAATCCACTTTTAGTTAAAAATGCACCAGAGGTGGGAATAATACGTACTCCAAATACGGAAAAGATGTAGTCATACTAAGTTATTAATTCAAAATACTTCACAATATGAAACGATTAATTTGATTAATCATCATGAATCAATAATTTAAATCATGCCATTTGCTGAAAAAACACAGAGCAAATATTAAAATAAAACTGTACAAAAGAAAAACTTTTTGCACTTGAGAAAAATAAACCTCCTTTGTCTGTAAGTACGCTCTAGCAGGAACTCCTCAAGTGGCATAGTTTTAGTTTCACTTGGTTGATTCTTAAAAAAATAAATAAAAAAATCAGCTCCTTCCATTAATTAATCTAAAAATTAACCAACAGATCACCTCTACACTGTATTGATATTAAATCAAACAGAAAAGCTCTGTTTTTTGTTGATGTTAAAGTATTTAGTTAGCTGTAGATGCATCCTTTGTTACAAATGATCAAGCATTCACTAAAGGAATGCCATGTTATTTCATTTTAGGCAATAAAATGAAAGGAATTATTTGTTTATTTGCATCTTTTAAAGTATTTTTAATATTGTTTATAAATCATTTAATGAAAAATCAGCAGAATGTGTCAATGTTTTTATCTGACTAACCGATTAATCGTCAGAATAATTGATTAATCGATAGCTAAAATAATTATTAGTTGTAGCTCTATTTAAGATAAAATGGGAACTGAGCATCAAGATCTGCAGTGTGAACGCAGCCTAAGCTATAATTCAGCTGCAGAAGAATACTCTTCCTGACGTGACGAAACCATTTTATCTTCAAACAGAGTGACTTCTTATCAGCTAAAAAATAAAACATTTTCACTTCTGTCTTAGCTATCATGGCTGAGGCTGAAAATAAAAGAAGAGGTTCATACTCAAAGCTTGATTCATCTGCATCACTGAAAGTTACGATTTGATTTAAAGCTTTTTGGATTTAAACCAAATAATAATAATGTAAACATTTAACTCAGACAACGACCTTTTGAATACTGCACACTTTAAAAAAAGAATTTGGCAACAGACTGCTCGTGTTTTTTAAATGTTGGGACATTGCCTGGTTGAGTGAAAATTATCTGCAACTATATATAATGTTTGGCAAAGCTGTTCAAAGTAATCTGGAAAGTAGGAGCTATTGGAGGTGAAAGGTCAAATCAAACTCATGTTCTGGCATGCCTAACAGATACATAGAAATATAAAAAGATAAATGCTTTAAAAAAGCTGTGAAATAACCAACAAAGCTGCTCCTCAGACTGGTAATGAAGATGTTTATTTTAAATCTCTTCTTTAGCTGCTGTAAGTTAAGTTACTTACAATTTATCAACCCTACAACTCCTGGCTTTTTCTGCCAGACTTCTTTTTCTTTTTTTGTTAAAAATAAATTTTTTTCTCCCTGCTGTGACTGAGTTGTAATGAATCGTCAGATTTTTTCAGAGATAGAAACATTATTTGTAAATGAACAATCATTTCTTCTTTGGAAATGCATTCAGCTCTTGGCTTAATGTGCTTAGCTACTCCCACCACTGGCAGGCATATGTGCAAATGTGAATCAGTGCCGTTCTCTTGAATGCAGTCGTACAATGACTCAGCTTTGTACTAAAAAAATAAATAAATAAATTGACTCAGGCACAAACGCTGCACACTATCAGAGAGCATCAGATCTGCATCCTGTATGACAAAGCGCTGTGTTTTATCACAGGAAGGGGAAGACGCACAATGTGCCCGGTGAAGGTGGAAAACACCGCCTCATGGACATGGTAGGTATCAAAACAATCAGAATATCTCAACTGGACTGCAGCCAGCACATGTAAATTTAGGACAAAAAGTAAGAACGATTTAATATTTCTTTATTGTAACAATGATTATGAGTAGGGGTGCACCGATTTATCGGCCAGACGATTTCCTTAATTTTGGGAGATTGGTGATTGGCTGATACTTGTATGTGAAGCCAATCTTATCCATCGATCTTATTTTCCTCAGCAAAGGTCTAAAAATCAGCCACTGTCCTCTTCTGCTCTCCTGACCCACCAGGTCATGTCTGCAGGCTTTAAGTTAACAACAAAAGACGACAGCGCAAGGCATTCTGGGTGAATACAACCAAAACAAACCGATGTGTCTAACATTAGCAGGAGAAATGTCTCATGATCTTTTACCAAAGATGAAACAGAAATCCTGCAATGGCAAATATTTGTGAATAAGAAAGTTGTGCTCCGTTACAAATGCGCGCAAAACTTTGCCCATATTCCGCTAATGTCGAAAAAACAATTTTGCAATTGGGCTGTTTCCATTTAAATAAAAATGCAACTGAAATTACACGTGAATACGTTTGACATTAAAAACATGGCACACCATCATCCTCCAGCTACTTCCTGGTTGCAACATCCTGCTGATGATCACCTGTGAAAAAAGTGTTTCCATTGCGTTTCTGTGAAATAAAACAATTTCAATACAGCCAAAAAAATACCAAAGCAAAACTTTTAATCGAAAAACAAGTTTTGTTCCCATTTAGAACATTTATTTTCAAAATGTCAAATTGTGCAATGATGTGGTCAATGGAAAAGTAGATGGTGTATTCTTCAGAGGTTTTTGAGTTGTTTCCTTCAGTAGTTAGTGGTGCAGCGCCCCCACAGGCGAGGAGGGAAATGGGTTTTTCAAACAGTTTCGGTTCTTTGACAGTGTAGTGTAAAAGTGAAAATGTAACAAATGTTGCAGTTTTGGTCCCAAATCAAACCAAATCTACTGGACTATCAGGTGTGGAAACACCTTTAGTCACCATTATAGTACCTGGGTTACCAGAAGCTCAAAACAAGTTAACTGCAGAGTTGACTGCACCAAGACCAGCTGCTTAGTGAAGAAGATTTCATGGTTTTATAGTTGTGACCCACATACTCAGTTCTATCTACAAATGCATTTTCCTCACAAACATTGTGCCAATTAAGGAGAAATCAGAAGGCTTTCCAATGAATTACTGCCAAAACATATCGTTACAACAAAGAAATAACCAACCAAACTTAATTTTTAGAATTTTGTGCTAAATGTAATTTAACATAATTCACCAAAATCATTCTGAGAACATTTCTTTAGCCTTGTTGGTTTGTGTGTGTTTTCAGGGTATACTCAAGCAGTCAAAGCTGCGGTCCATCAGTAAATCTGACACGGAGATGAACAAGATGAACTGCAATGGCAAAAGTGAGTGCATCTCTCACATGTAAACTTTGTTGTGTGTTCCTGTAAAGTGTACCTCATTGTTGTCATGGAGAAACTATTGTTCTTGTTTCAACTGCATGACAAAATAATTTCTGTGTCATTCAAGTTGATTTTTGGGACATGAACACAAAGCATCGGGGTATGCACTGTAAGTATCATTTATTTGTAACCATTAAAAACACCAAACTTTGAGTTTGAAGGTCTTTGCAGTGTTTCCTGGACTCTTTAATACACGTTCTGGCCCAAATTCCCTTAAAATCTGAGAAAATCTGAGGACATAAGACGAGAAATTTACCCGCAAACAGAATTCACATCATAGTTAAGATTGAGCTTTACTTAATTAGACTGTTCAGACCTAATTTATGAGCATCTCTCTCTCAAAGACACGAATCAGAGCGCCAAGGCGACTCCTGGAGCTCCATCAATCGGAGTCAACAGGGAGCTGCGTTTGTGGGCGCCGTGACAGGCGCCCAGGAGGATTTGAAGAGATAGAAACATATGTCCTGCCTCATATTTGTCCCGCTTCCACTGCAGAGTGATGAAGCCAGTTTGGATCCTTATACTCAAACATCTATGTCAGTTCCCAGTTTACTGTCTCTTTCAGACAGGGCTGCGACTAACGGGTACTTTAGTAGTCAATTATTCAGACGATTAATCAATTAATCGGGTAAAGAATAAGCATACTCTCAGATTTTTTAGCCTTTTTTTTTTACTAGATATGGAATATATTAAAAGACGCAAATAATGCAATTATTTTCATAAATAAGAAAATAAATTTATTGCCTAAAATGCCACAACATTCCTTTAGTGTACGCTTGATCATTTGTAGCAAAAGATGCATCTGCAGCTAAAAAATACTGTCAATTTGTTGATTTTTTAACTAATAATTGGATAGCAAAGGTGTTTAATTTGAAATAGGTGAAGCTAAAAATGACATCTAAGTTCTGGGTTGAACATATCTACAGATAAGGAAGGTTTTTCATCTTAGATGCAAAATCTACATATTTTTGTACATTTTGGGCTTATTACTGCTCTAAGCTTGTTTCAGCAAATGGCTTTTTTAAGCGTCTGTGTAGTCCAGTTAATGATTAATCAATTACTACATTTATTGACGATTATTTCAATAATCAATTCATCAGATTAATCATTTCAGTCCTACTTCAAATACTTCCCTGTCTTTCCAGGAGGGGGCGCTAGAAAAGATTGGGGCGACTTCATCTCTACCTGTGTGACACGATTCTGTATTATCCAGCTAGCGATTAATCTGTTACTAAATTAGTTGACAATTATTTAGTTAGCTTTTCAGCCTGACTTCTAATACTCTGAACTATTCCTTTTCTATTGATTAGACTTCTAACTGCACTTCTCCATCTTCCCAGAAGGGGGCGATGGGAAAGAAAGGCCATGTTAATAATTGGGTGATCTCCAGCTCTGCCTGTGTCACATCAGACACAGTCAATTTGTTGATTTTTTTTTATTAATAATTGGATAACAAAGGTGTTTAATAGGACATTTGTTTTTACAGAATTTGTTTTTACAGAATTTGAAACAGGTGAATCACTAACTGTATCCAGTTAGCGATTAATCGATTAACCAACCAATCCATTTTATTTGTGTAGCACATTTAAGCAACGAGGCAGTTCAAAGTGCTTTACATCATAAAAACACAAAAATACAGTCGTACAAATTACTACTAATTAGATCGACAATTATTTCACTAATCAATTAATCGTGATTAATCATTTCAGATCTACTTCAAATACTAAGAACTATTCCTTTTCCCATTCATTAGTCTTTTAATTTCACTTCCCCATCTTCTCAGGAGGGGGCCGCTACATCACCAGGTGGTGATTATTTCAATAATTGATTAATCATGATTTGTTCAATTAATCGTTTTCAGCTCTACTGTCAGATTTTCTTTCTCCGATGTTCATAAACCCTTTGAGGATCAGTCAATCGAGGGATGTGAATTCTGTTTTCTGGAGGGTGTCAGCTGAACAGAGAGTATAATAGCGGCAGCATGAGCCCTGCGGAGGCATCTTAAGAAACGTCCAGCCAGCATGGACCTTCTGCCGCTGCCCAGCCACTGGTCTAACTCTGACCTTCGTTCTCAAGGCAGGCAGCTTCCCCAGATCCCCTCTGGGACTGGAGAGGACAGCGAGCACACTTATTCAGAAGTGGGCCAACGTTCCTCCACTGCACGTACTGACGATGCCCTCTACGCCATGGTAGGCAGGGCCGGGCAGACGGACACTCCGGCCCCTCCGGCCGTTCCCGCCAACACCCCGGCGCCCCCGGACCCGGACGGCGAGGTGGACGGAGCGCTGCCCGAACCCGAGGCCCCGGTCATGTCTCCCCCACACCCTCCGGAGACGGCGGAGTACGCCTGCGTCAGGAAGCTGAGGAAGGCTGAAAAGGCGCCTCAGAAGAGGGACAGTGGGACGGATATGGCAGAGCCGCCCGCCCCACCTCCACGCCATGGGCCACCGTCGCATCCCGCCCCCCCACCGCCTCATCCCCACAGCACAAAGTTGCCTCGTAGAAACATTGAGGCCTTCAATGTCCCATCATTCCCAAAGGTTGGTACAATTTATTCTACCATTTAGTTACTAGGTTGCTGAAATCTTTTGCTACATTTCTAGAGTTAACATTGAAAAAGTTTGCCTACCTGGATGTTCAGCTCTCAGATTTCTGTTTGAAGAAGTACCACGCCGTACTTTCTAGAAAAAACAAGGACATTCCTGAGCTTGAAAAGTTGAAAATCTGCTAGGAAATAAACTCTTGAAAAAAAAAGTTAATTTTCTTTGTTTAAAAAGTCGAAAACTTTCAAGTAAAAAAACGCAGACATTTTGATATTAATCTCAGAAACCTTCTAGAGAAATGACTTGAGTAAAACTCGCCACATACTTCATCCGAAATGTTGAAATTGACTCTCACTGATGTAGTTGGGTGACGAAAATTACATCTAATGTTGCGTTCCGGTAAACCGGGAAGTCGTAACCCAGGTCTGGGTTTGACGTTAGACCCGAGGCAACATCGTTCCAGTTGAGATGTTGGAATTTCAACATGGCGACGCCCGTAAACATTATTTGCAATACCTCTTAGAGACATTAAAATTTTACTTTCCAGACACCAGTTCTGATTAGTTCAGTTTAGAGTTGAAGGCGCCACATTAACACTGATTTTAGAGGCATTCTTACTTGCATGTCTTGTGAAAGAAACGTGTTTCCACCACATGTTGCTGCTCTTGATGTGAGGAGCGTCGTATCGAAACGTGAAGCCCGCCTGGCAAGTTGTAATTGGTGGTAGTTGGAGTCGCTCCCAGTTTCCCAGCGGAAATCCGAGTCGGTTAGGCATTATAGTTGATTTTTCTAACTAAGAAGTCGTAATTTCCCAGTTCCGTGTACAACTGGAACATACCATAATAACTCCACGTGGATGCGAGCTGATGGAGAACACTCCAAAAACAGGAAGCAAACTACAACGCAGGGCATTCTGGGTAAAGACAACCAACACAGACGCGAGAGTCTAACGCTAATGGGAGAAATGGCTTGCGGTCTTTTGCAAAAAAAATAAAATAAAATAAAATAAAAAAATAAAAATAAAAATAAAGAGGAACCCTAAAGCCGCTAAACTCTGAGGCCACTCCGTTTTTATTTACATTTTGGGAAGGAAGTTGTGCTCAGTCTCTTCTTCTGAGGTTTTTATGTCGCTCCTTCAGTAGTTCTTACTGCAGCGCCACCAAAGGTGAGGAGGGGAAACGTTTTTTTAATTAGTTTGAATCGTATGATACTGAAAATGTAAAATGTTTTTTGTGTGTTTTTGGTCTAGTTTCCCGTGCAAATATGTTAATACACTTGAAATGAGACAAAATGAGCTTGCAAGTAACCTTTCAGCAGTATATAGGAGCTTGTTTTAGTCAATAATACCTTAATATTAATGAAAAAGTAAAAATTTCACTGTCAGATTGTCTATAACAGGGGTCCCCAAACTACGGCTCGCGGGCCGGATCCGGCCCG